TAGAAATTATTCAATCTCTACTTTCACATAGATTTAAACTTGTAGTCCAGCAAAACAAATACCTGATTCTTATCTACAGACTATTCATAACTAACCTAGTTCTCTGAATACATTTAGTTTTAATATTTTATGGAAACCTTTTTCATAAGTAATGACCATCGTATCTGTCAATGTCTACGGAATTCCTGATGAATATTCAAGATCTTAACAACCATATTTTCAGTTTCTCTTAATATATGAACATTATTTTTTGATATTTTTGTTACTATGTTCGGTAACGAGTACTCGATAAGAATGGCAAATCAATTGATGAAATAGTGAAACTTCATCAGTTGAGATATCTGGGACATGTGTTACGTATGCCCAACCACCGACTGTCCTGAAGTGCAATGTTTTATGATGTGGGAGTACGTTGAAAGAAAACTAGTGGTGACCAGACCAAAATGTGGCACAAATTCATGAAGTCACTGACAAGTGAACTGAGCCATGTTGGTAGGTGTAGACTACCTGGTTGGCATCCGTGAGATGATAGCATCCAATGGTTAGAGACCTTGAATGAAATGGTTCAAAATCATTTGTAATGATGAAAGTGCATCCACTGTTTGTGTTCTACCAAATTCTAATCTTCTATACTCTTCATGTCCCTTCCTGTTTTCTCTTTCCAAATTTATTTCATTGGATTATACTCTTTCAATAACATCTTCAAACACTAATCTTTCGGATTACTGTTTAAATTCTTACTACTTTTACCACTATGGGATTTGAATCGACAACTGCATCACTGTGATAATGTGGTATCACAATTTGAACTGATGTACGTACGTACGAAATTCTACGTTGTGATTGACTGACTGATTGACTGATGTTCGGTAAATCATGATTCTTTTTTTTACTATATATATTATTTATCATAGTTGAAAGCGTGAGTCAATTGAAGCTAGACCATCATGGAAAACCTGGAAACACTGGACGGCCGTTTCGTCCTATTATGGGACTCCTCAGCAATGCGCATCCACGAACCCGCTCTCGCGAGATCCGTACCCAGTACCTACCAGTCTCGAGCCGAAGCCCTTAACCGATAGACCATTGAGCTGGCATCCAACGGTGTTAATGTCTAACTTCAACTGATCCACGAAGTTGAGCAACCATTCATCAATTGTCTTCAGTGAGTTCCTATCTCACAACAGACGTGGTTTTGAACTCCACTGGTCACTGCTTCTCACTAGAGCTCCAAGATATACTTCTCAAAGTGTAATAGGACGAAACGGCCCGTCCAGTGTTTCCAGGTTTTCCATGATGGTCTAGCTTCAATTGACTTACGCTTTCAACTATGTTAAATACTAAATCTCCACAAAACCCCTTCTGATAATTAATATGTATTATTGACTGTTATTAAGGAAAAAAAGTATGTTTCTTTTTTGAAAGTTGTAACCCTTCAAAAATGTAATCACCAAATGAAAACTTTTTATTGAACCAGTTTTTCTTGTTCTTATGTCTAAATGTATGTATGTACTCCGTATCTATTTAATTAACATTAGACTGTGTATGAAATACTGTCAACAATAGTCAACTACTAGATGAATCAACATCATATCATAATCATGTAACTTTTGTATATCAGTTTTACAGAATAATTTTATTGTTAATTAACATGATACATATCGAAATGTGTTATGTATATATGGTGTTCCAGTCAGATTGGTTATTCAACCCTATACATCAGGTGGCCTAGTATGGTCAAGTTAGAGTCAAATACAACCGGAATCGATACAAAGATAGAACAGAGTATTTGATCAGTCTGATCTTCATTGACCGTCTAAGTCGGCTAGCAAGAATGTCTACATTATCCAGAATAGCCTCAAGAAGGCTTTAGGTCGGATTCGGTTGTCATTGAATAATTATACTTCAGTATACCTATTAAAAGTTTGGTAACAAAATAACTGCTTTTCAAAACAACTGTGTTAATAGAGGAACTTCAATGTCCTCAAGTCTATTTCTTCAAGTATTTATACAGCACTGAGCATAGTTAGTTAGATACTAAGATTAAATAGATATTAGAATAACCATAATACAGTTTATGCAAATATAGTTTGCTAAGAGAATCATTAAAATGACTTATTTATTCTGTTTTACTCATTATTGCATTTATTCTTACTATTATTACACAACGGAACAGTCATATTCTCGGAATTCAATAATATGATCTTATGAAGTAATCTTTAGTAAGTTGATAACATCATCTCAATCTTAACCATCAACATTAACTTATTATTTATCTCTAGTGGGGATTATGATAACAAATTATCAGGACTCAGTAGCTAAGTGGATAACGTGATGGCGTTTGAAGCGAATGGTACTGAGTTCGAGTCCCAGAGTGATCATCAACTCAGATCCATCTGACGAGTCCCAAATAGGACTAGATGTTCATCCTTGATTCCACTACTAGCCACTATTCATCACTGCATATAAAGCATGTGACTTCAGACAGTGTCGAGGAAGTCCGCACAGTATGTACATATACCAACAAGAGACAGATCAATAGCAGTCCTAAATAACAATAGGAAAATACAAGTAAACAACACCAAGTGAATATTATTTAGACTAGTTCTACTAACAGGCATCTTAGTACAAATAGAATATTGCTAACATCCGTTTAATACAAGATAATCTGTGTTTAAAAATTTCACTGTAGGTATACATTTCTCTCTATTCAAGTTCTTAGACATTTACTTCACTAATTGGACATTATTTAACATGAAACTTAGTTCAAACAAGGATTTGAGTAATTTGTTTTCCAGTTGGCCCAACATATTGCTTTCTCGTGGCGGGGGTGTTGTTTACGAAATTGAGAAGACGAAAAGCAAATGTCCCGCTCTTTAACCGTGTTGGTGGACACGGCGAATCCACCTAGGGGAGTTGGAAAACCATGATTCCAAACCAATGGTGCACATGGGCTCCAGTATCCTGAAGGAACAAATGGCGTATTCCATTTACAAATGAGTAATTAATTATTATTATTATTATTATTATTATTAACATTATAAATGGTTACTACAATTATTATTCTTTGATTACCTCTTCCATCTAATTATATAATCATAAAGAGAGAAAAAAAAACAAACGCAATCACACTGTGTCCTAGAGTCAGTTTACTGGGACACATTATATCTATCTATATCCATCTATCTATCTATCTATATTGAAACATTGAATTTCAATTTAACCTGGTAAATATGCGCTTCCTTAAGTAAAAATAAACCGCGGCGTTTGTTTTTTTTTCGGTGTTGTTTGATTTGAAGTTTTATTGATTTGTAACTCATTAGATTTATTTAATTAAATTATGTTTACCTTTTAATACCACAACATAACTATATCTAGATGGATTCATGAAATAAGGTTTCTTTTTTTATGTTCCAATGAGAACATTGAATAGTGTCAATATGAGCTAGATAGATAGATAGATGTATATAGAACTAATGTATACATGTGTATGTGTATATGTATGTGTACGTGTAAACATGCTTGTATATGTGTTTACTGGTTCGGTATCCAGTGTTTATTATTTATTTATTTTTTCTTTTTTCTTTTTCTTTTTTCTCACAGACTTTAACGAACCTTGACCCTAATCCTAACTCTAAAGAACAAAAATAAAATAACATTATAATACAAATGGAAGATTTGATTTTTGGTTCATTGTAAAAAAAAAAATGTTATTCAACAATTTTGTGTTCTATTTATGAAAATTAAAAAAATAAAAAAAAATTATAAAGAAGTGAATTTTCTTAGGTTAAAGGAGGTTGGGTGTATGTGTGTGTGTGCGTAAGGTTTCATAGGGTTTTAATGAAACAAACAAATTAACAAACAAACAAACAAACAAACAAAAAATGAAAGAAAAAAACACCTTAGTGATTATGTCTAGTCGGTAACAGTTGGTAAACATCAAACATTTTTGATTGTCGGCACAAACATACAAATAAATATATGTATGTGCATCAATATTTATGTGCTATAAAACTATTTAGAGGGGAAAAAAAGAATATACCAAATCTTATTTTTGGTATTATAAAAGTAATTGGATAAGTTTAAAAAAAAAACTTTTTTGCACACTTTTGCACAAACTATACATAGATACCAAAATCTATTAAAGACATATAGCACACACATATACACACACACACTAAAAAGAACAAAAAACAACAAACTTTTATTTGGGGAAAAAAAAAGGAGATCACAGTTATTTGTGCCGACATTGTAAAGTCATCAATATCATTAATCCTTATTTGTTTAGAGTTAATAGGTAGATATATTTATATATATATAGATGGAGATAGATAGATAGATAGATAGATAATGTAAATTTATTAAATTGGTGTATTACCAACGCCAGTCGAACAATATGAACTTTGTGTTATTACATCAGCATTGTACATGAATCTATATCTGTACAAGAATTTTGAATTCATTCATTCATCATCATACTGTCTAACATACATACACACATACATACATACATACATACATACATGCATACATATATCACCTCTGATTACATATATATAGAGACATACAAATATACATTTATCATTGTTACTGTGGAAAGTAAATTCATGATTACATGTATATATACCTATATATATCTTATCTGAAGTGAAAGGATACCATAAATAATAGTTCTTCTATAACTTTCAAAACATTTCATTCATTCATTCATTCTTATTTATTTATTACCGTTTGTTCTCCTACTTTTTTTTGTTTATATATTTTTTTTTCTTAGTTTTTGGAGTATCTACTCTAAACAACAACAACAACAACAAAAAAAAAAGAGGAAACAAGGAAAAGGAGAATTCAAACTATATCAAAAACTTAAACATTGTATATTTAATATGTTTAATACTTATTTAATAAAAATCAATTATTGGATCCTATTATAAAAGATTCTATGTATATAAATATCATATCTATACATATTAACCTAACTACTTAACTACAAAAAAACAAAACAACAACAACAACAACAACAACAACAGTGAATCATAAAGAAAATAAAAAAAGACTTAATTGGAATATTAAATAATTCATTATATATATAACATTTACTCATTATGATTGTTTATTATTTAATACTACTGATAATTTAAATAAGTATTATAACAAATTAATAAAACATTTCAGAATTATCCTACTCATCATCATCATTATCATCATTATAAAGAAAAGAAAATAATAAAATATAATTGGAAATAGATTAGATAATATGAAAAAAGAAAATAAAAATAAAAAAGGTTAGTTAAATTTTTTAAAAAAAAATTTTTTTCTATTTTTTTTTGTTTTTTTTTGTTTTTTTTTGAGTTCTATTTTTTTGTTTTTAAATTTAAAGAAAATAAAATGGGCACAATATTTAATGTTTATTGTTTTATCAGAAAGCGGGGGGGGGTGTTCGTGAAGATTTTTAGTAATTTTTTATATAGTTGAAATCATGAGTCAATTGAATTTAGACAACCATTAAAAACCTGGAATTATTGAATGACTGTTCCATTCTATTGTGGGACTCCTTAGCAGTGTGTATCTACGGTCCCGCCTCGAGAGATTCGAATCTAAGATCTATCAGTCTGAAGCGCGAGCACCTAATCTCTAAACCACTGAGCCGGCATCTAACAATGTTAATGTCTAATTTCAATCAATACACAAAATTAAGCAACCATTTATAGCAACTCAGATTCAATTGAGTTTGTTTAAATCTAATTCAGCCAAGCCCTTTTGTCAACTTATTTAATGGACAGTCATTCATACAAATAAAAACCCATCTATACCATTGTACTTTTATTATATACGCTTGAACATTGCTTACTGCCTACGCATATATTTATTCCGCTAGCATTATTATTAATCGCTTATTTGATCCGATGATTCATGCTTTTCCACTTATATATATATGTACATCTTAATCCTGTTTACTGCACTTGCCCTGCTTGCTATCTGCTCTGCTCTGTATTACGCTACACCGTACTGTACATGCTTACTCATTCATTCGGCTCTACAGCACTGCTCTTTCATGCTTGCTTGACGTACCTGTAATATTGGATAACTGTGTGTGGTTCAGTAATAAACGCGATCAACCCTTCGTATTTGTCTTCTGATTTATACATCGTTAGGACGTTGTCAAGTAACGGTTATCAAAATGAACAATATACAAAACCTAGGGATAATATCAAAAATCGACCACCACACATTCAACAATTGTCTTCAATGAATTACTATCTCCCAACAGACCTAGTTATTATTCTAATTAATTTTATTATGCAACGTGTAAATTATATTCAAATAACTATCAATGATCATGAATTCATTGATGTTAGATGATTATTGAAAACCTGGAAGTATTGTACGACTGTTTTGTTCTATTATGGAATTCATCAGTAGTACACATCTATGATCTAGGTTTTTCAATAGTGGTCTAAAATTGATCCATTCATGATCTTAATCAAAATATAAAAAAAATTATGAAATTTGTTTAAATCAAAAAGAGTGATTTAATTATTTAATATTGATTGATTAAATCTATAATAGTTTCCTGGAATCAATCAGAACTTTTGAATATTCAATTAAATACTTTTTATAGAAGGGGTTTTGTGGAGATTTAGTATTTATCATTGTTGAAAGCGTGAGTCAATTGAAGCTAGACCACCATGGAAAACCTGGAAACACTGGACGGCCGTTTCGTCCTATTATGGGACTCCTCAGCAGTGCGCATCCACGAACCTGCTCTCGCGAGCGAGATTCGAACCCAGGACCTACCAGTCTCGAGCCGAAGCCCTTAACCGATAGACCACTGAGCTGGCGCACTGCTGAGGAGTCCCATAATAGGACGAAACGGCCGTCCAGTGTTTCCAGGTTTTCCATGGTGGTCTAGCTTCAATTGACTCACGCTTTCAACAATGATAAATACTAAATCTCCACAAAACCCCTTCTATAATTAATATAATAATATGCTCACTAGTCATTTCGAGAAGTATATCTAGGAGCTCTAGTGAGAAGCAGTGACCAGTGGAGTTCAAAACCACGTCTGTTGTGAGATAGGAACTCACTGAAGACAATTGATGAATGGTTGCTCAACTTCGTGGATCAGTTGAAGTTAGACATTAACACCGTTGGATGCCAGCTCAGTGGTCTATCGGTTAAGGGCTTCGGCTCGAGACTGGTAGGTCCTGGGTTCGAATCTCGCTCGCGAGAGCAGGTTCGTGGATGCGCACTGCTGAGGAGTCCCATAATAGGACGAAACGGCCGTCCAGTGTTTCCAGGTTTTCCATGGTGGTCTAGCTTCAATTGACTCACGCTTTCAACAATGATAAATACTTTTTGTTTTATTAGATGGTTAGACTTAACTCATGATAGCTTTACTTAAATAATCAAGTCATATATTTTAAAACAATAAAGATGATACAACTTTTTGAGTTTTGTTTGAATTGAATAATTAAAAATAAAAAAAAAACGGCCTACATTTTAAATTTATCGATGTTCACGAATAGTTTGTAAATTATTACGAAAGTAAATACGATCAGATTGATGTGTCGCTTAATTTCATAGATCAGTTGAAGTTAGACATTAACACCTTTGGATGTCATCCAGCTAAGTGGTCTAGTGAGTAAGCGTTCGAGCGCGAAATTGACAAATTCTGATTTCGAATTTCCCGAGACGGGATTGTGTATACGCATTGTTGAGAAGTCCGATAATACGACGAAATGGCTGTCCAGTGTTTTCAGGTTTTCATTGGTGGTCTAGCTTATATTGATTCATGATCTCAACTATCAAAATTGATATAAAATTATTGAAGTTGTTGATATATTTTCTTTCTATATGTCCTTTTTAAAGAAATCAGTGTTGTACCAACATTGAAATATATGGATCTACTATATGGTGAATGAATGAATTCTTTGTAAACAATTGAACTAGCACAGAAGTTTTATATTCTTGAGTTATCACCTTCTGACTATTGGTAGATATTAAATATATACACATGTTTTCAACAATCATAAATTGAACGTTTGCTAAAAAGATAAAGTTTGTTATAATATCTAATATTGATCATGAGAATTCGGTGAGACTATTATATTTGGACGACCTTTGAGAAACTCTGAAGTGACCTTGAGTGTTCCCCTAATAACTAGGACCAAATGGGGGTTATAAAGCAGTGTGGGGAATAAAACTAATAATTAACAGTTCATGGTTAATGTTAGGAATTATACTTATGGTTTTCATCATGAGCTAACATCAGCTATAATGCCAAAACTCTATTCAGCCAAATGGATGAATGAATTACGCGCCAAAAATCCAAGACCTGTTATCTTATACCTGATTGGTTTGTCCATAAATTATAGTCTTGCGGAGAAATTTTTACTCTAACGAAAATTTTTCATGTTAAGCAAAAGCAACTACTAATATCAATACCTTGATCGAGTATACCAAGAAATCCCCACTCATAATTGACTGTTTTTATACTTCATTTAATTGAGTAATGTCTTTTATACTTCAAGAATTCAGTAGTCCGTTTTATGTTATTGTAGATGTATTAAAACAAGACATGTTTATTACCAATGTAAACAATTGGATATTAAATTCAACTTAGTATTGTTTGTTTGAATCTTCCCACTAAGTTGAATTTAAACTTCACCCAATCGTACAAGCAAGTGGCTATCAGGACTCAGTGGCCGAGTGGATAACGCGATGGCGTTTGAAGCGAGGGTACTGGGTTCGAGTCCCAGAGTGAACATTAACTCTGAGATGCAGGTACATCCGGCTGACGAGTCCCAATTAGGACGAAACGCGCGTCCTGGATTCCACTGCTAGCCACTATCCATCTCTGCTAACCAATTGGATATTAGTTCTTTAGTTTAAAAGTTAGGCTATATTGAGATGTTCATAACTATTGGTTAACTGTGGCTAACTCTAGTTGTTTAAAATTATTAAAAAAATTTCCAGTGTAAATCAAACTCCAAATGAAAACATTCATTCACTAAATAAACAGAGAAACAACTGAAATTTCTATATATACCATATCTGTTAACTATTGAAAACGTCACTGATAATTTTAACCTTAAATACAACAAGAAAGACATCAAATTCATTTGATGTTGTTTCATTGAATCTTCCCATTGATATTTAAGACTGTAATTGATCAGTCATTAATCTATATATGTGTATACTGTGTGTATTGCCTTAATATAGACAAACATTATGAGCAATGATGAATAGTGGCTAATAGTGGAATTCAGTTTGACACGTGTTTCATCCTATTTAAACTTCACTCCATTATACAAGCAATTGACTATCAGGACTCAGTAGCTAATTACATAATTTTATAGTGTTTGAAGCGAACAGTACCGGATTTAAGTCTTAAAGTGAATATCAATTTTGAGATGTAGATACATCCAGCTGACGAGTTCCAAATAAAACGAGACGCGTATCAAACTGGATCCCATTGCTAGCCACTATTCATTTTTGATTAATATAAAGAATCAAATAGTCAATTAATTTTAAAAGATTTTTCTATGTAACGATAATATTCATAAATTTATTTAAACATACGTTTATTAAATAAATAATTCAGTAACGTTTAACAAGATCATCACAACTAAACTCTAAGCTTCAATCGTCCGCTTTGATTACGTAACACTTGTTAAATGAATTTTATCAAATGTACAATGTGAATAAGATTGATTAAAGATTTATGGAAGATTATGAAAACACAATCAATTCATTTCTAAAATAATAAACTGAACTTTATTAAAATCTTATTGAAAAGATCAATAAACAAAGTTACATTAATTTTTCTTAATATGGGGTTGTGAAGATTGTTACATGAATCGATTAATGTTAGACCATCATTAAAAACTTGAAAGCATTGAACAATAGTTTCATCTTAGTATTGAACTGGTGAAAAGTTTACATCCACAATTTAACACTCAGGATACGAATCATGTATTCATTAGTGACTAGATTCGTGAGAGAATTCTCGAAGTTCTAGTGAGTAACCTCGATCAATAGAGCTAGTCTATGTCAGTTAGAGACATATGTCTATTCTAAACAATGGAAGATGATAGTGAAATATCGTGGATTGGTTGAAGCTAAACATTAACACCATTGGATGCCGATTTAATGATCTAAGGATTAGTCGTTCACGTGCGAGGTCGAGGGTCCCGGGTAAGAGTTATACGAGTGGGATCTTGGATAAGCATTGCTCAAGAGTCCAATACTTAAATAAAACGCCCATCCAATGCTCCTAAGT